ATATATATATATATATATATAGTGTTAGAAGGGCGCAAGAAAAACTGCTAGTGCAGTGGAAAGTCTCACTAGAAAGTTTACAAACAACTATGTGAGTGATGAAATATAAATAATATCTGTCGGGAAGATGTAACTTCTCGAGAAGCATGATTCATGCAGTTTATTTCAAATTCAAAAATGTATGCTTTTTGTATGTGCACTTTATCTTGCTTTGTATGGTGACGACGGGAAGTGGTGAAGAGCAACAACGAAGCCCTTCGGCAAACCGCCTCATTCGGCGAGGAAACGGCAACGACGGGCGGTGGAGAGGACAACCACAGCCGGCACAGGACGTCGAGAGTAATCAACGACCATTGTGCACCCCCAACCCGATTTTTTAGTCTTGTGTTTCGATTTGTATAACGTATGTCATTTTTTTTACGTATTCACGCTTACGCACGCGTTACGTTCACCCGATTTTTTATTATTTGCTGATAAAAGTTATACTGACCGAGTTTGAGGGTATAAGGACGATACGGGCCGACGAACCGAGCACAAGGAATCGAAGGAACCAACGGACCGTGCTCGCCCAAACGAATTGAAGAAGGAGACAGGGAGCTGCATTTGCCAAGCAAAGGACGGCCCACGTATTGCGCCCAGTTAATGAACTTGAGCTACCCTTACTACAGGCCACTCTGCCGGCTTAGAACTATATTTATAAAGTATGAATTCTTTGAAGCGGACAACCAGGAGAGTTAGGTAAGCGTCGTACCGGCGTACGGGAACGCCAAAGATTTTTTGGCACAAGTTCAAAACTCGAGAATCTGAGAAGTTAGAGCGCTGAAATCCTAGGAAGATGTTCCTCGCCCAACTAGGTGTTAATGCACTGAAACCTATCCCCGAAGAAGCGAGGTACCCGCGTACGGGAACGCCAAAGTTTTTTTGGCACAAGCCCAAACCCGGGGAGCTGAGAAGCTAGAGAGCTGACATCTTAGGAGGACTTTGTGGTTTGGATTTGTGACAAATCCACGACATTGGATTTGTGCGAAAAAAAGTTTGGCGTCCCCGTACGCGCCTGCCGTGTCTCTCCGGGGAACAACTTTAAGCGCATAAACACATACTTGGACGAGGAACATCCTCCTAAGGTTTCAGCGCTCCAGCTTGTCAGACTCCCGAGTTATGAAGCTGTGCCAAAAAAATTTTGGCGTCCCCGTACGTACCTGCCGTGCTCTCCCGGAGAACATCTTTCGGTGCATTAACACGTACTTGGACGGAGAACATCCTCCTAAAGTTTCAGCGCTCTACCTTAACAGACTCCCGAGTTATGAAGTTGTGCCAAAAAAATTTGGCGTCCCCTTACGCGTCTGTCGCGCATTCTCGGGGGAAGGCTTTCAGTGCATTAACACCAACTTGGACAAGGAACATCCTCCTAAGGTTTCAGCACTCTAGCTTGTCAGATTCCCGAGTTATGAAGTTGTGCCAAAAAAATTCAACGTCTCCTTACGCGCCTGCCGCGCATTCTCAGGGGATGGCTTTCAGTG